ATATATTTTATTTACAATAAAATATATAAAAAACAATAAAACGTAGAAAACACGGAAAACACAGAAAAAAAATTACAAAAAACGCGAACAGCCGTCCAAAAACGCGGCGGCTGGAGCCACCGTGGCTAATACACATTGGCGGTGGCGGTGCCGTACGGCACAGCCACGGCCACAGCGGGAGTTGGTGCCGACAGAGTAGGAGTGGTAGGAGTATTAGACTCGAAGAAGGCAGGAACTGCCCAAGGATAAGGAGAAGCGCAACAGCTTTAGTTGTAAGCTGGTCAAAGACAATATAAAGGAAAGGAAAAGGATTGTAGCAACAATAGAGATCAAATAATCGATGCAACAGCGAGATGGAATACAGAGAGCAATATGCGTGCGGAACTGTTCCGCAATACAAAGGACATTACCCCCCTATTTCTCTAGTTTATAAAGCAGTATGAAAATAAGGTCTAACAAGACCCCAGAGGAGCTGGGGCCCCCGCTACCAGCGGCTAGGCTCCTCCGCGGTTCCTCGCTCCAGAAGCTTGAAAAGAAGCGAAGCGGCCCGCGACTTTACGTCGCTGGGGAGAACCTCGCGGCGAAATGGGAGCGGAAACGCTCCATTGAACCAGCGCGAATGTAAATTCGATGGTTATTATGATACCTCTGAATTGTGCAATAAAGATAAAGCCCGCCGAACCCAGAAAAGCCAAGCTGAGGCCCCCGGAGGGGCTGAGCCTGTAAGGCGCCAGCCTGTAAGGCCCCCAGCCGTAGCTGGGGCCCCGACTTTACGTCGTGGGGGCCCGGGCGCTTGGCTACGGGAGCACGGGCCCCTACGATTATCTCCCTAAGCTCCCGAGCCGCGTTTTTGGACGGCCTTTCGTGTGTGTGGGGGTGTATGCGCGTTTTTTGCATGGTACCGTTTTTTTTTAGACTATACCGTGTTTTTATATCGATAAATATATTATTTCGTTATTCGTTATTTTTTTGTTTTTTATTGGTTTATTCCACTTTTTTATATATATTCTCTTTTTTTGTTTTTTATTTATAAATAAAAACAAAAAAAAAAGAGAATATATATAAAAACAAAAAAAATACAGGGCAACACTGGTGGGTGATATTCTCCATAACTAATGC